GCGGGAGCCTTTCCTCAACCCTTTCCTTGGGAAAGCAATAAACGGAACGGAGTCCAGTGGCTCCCAAGCCCCAGGCCTCTTTCGGGCTGGAGAGAAACCAGGGGGGAGGTTTGCCCGGACAAGAGAGAATTGGGCAGAGGTTTCTCAGGGGAGGGGTGCCTTTTCCAGACCCAGGAGCAAAGGGGGGGAGCAAAAACCAGAACCCAAATTGCATGGAAAGGACCCCACCGGAGCTGAACTCACGGCCAAGGGACCGCTCGGAGGAGGGTGGGCCCCCGCTGGGACCCTCCGCGAGGCCCCGCTGGCCTTTGCTTCCCAGACCAAGGTCACGGGGCAGGTGCCGGGCAGGCCAGGAGACCCAGGAGCTGAGGCAGTAAGTGGGGCACACACACACACACCCGCCTGCCCGCCCCTCCGGCGTCCCTCCCTCCTTCCCTCCCAAAATAGCGCTCCGGGCCCCTTCCTGCTAATGAGAGGAGTCCCCCAGGGGCCCGGCTACTCCAAATAGCTGGCATGCACGTGGCACATCCGCGCCAGGGGGGTTGCTGATAACCTCATTACCCCAATGCTGCCAAGCCCCCCCCGCCCCCCTCCTTTTCACTGGAAGCCCAGCTTCAAACTGGCTTCAACTATTCAGCTGAGCTTCCATTCCCAGATGGCGGAAAATAAAGCGGAGCCGGAAAAGAGACCCTTTCCTGGGAATCCCCAGGAACCCAGAACTTCCCGGCTGGTGCCTCCGGAGCCCCCACAGTTAGAATAAGGCCACGCAGAAGAGAAAGCGGGTGGCGGGGAGGGAGGGGCGCTCTCTTGTGCTGCTGGGGTTTAAACGCGGGGCCTCCGAGCAACCCGCCCGTCCCCTGGTCCCAGATAACTCGGCCGAAGCAAGAGAGCGTCCCTCTGCGCCTGGCCAGAGGGCCATCGCTGCAGGGCGGCCGAGGCTGCTCTGCCAGCAGAAACGTTCCGGGTGAAGCTCCTGGGGAGAGGAAGGGCCTGAGCAGAGATGCCGCCCCCCCCTCCCCACTTCCCCACATCACCGTCCTCTTTTTCCCCCTTTGGAGAAATAAAATAAAATGGAATTAAATTATCGTGGCGGCAAGCAGCCCAAAGCAAGCGGGGACGGAGCCCCCCCCGACAGTTGCCTAGCAACCCGAATGAGTGGGCATGGGATGCCCGTGGTTTTACGTGCCGTCTTCTTCCCACAGGTAAGGACAGGGAGGGGGTGGCAACCGGGAAGGGGGGAGAGGGAGAGAGAGAGAGAGGACCCAGAGGAGTTTGGGAAGGGGGGAAAAGGCAGGCATTTTCCAGGGGTCGGAGAAGGGGGAGTCTATGAGCAGCAGGGGGGGTCGCCCTGGCAGGTGGCCACGGAAGCTCCCGGGCAAAAGCGACACAAGCCACGCGCCCCACGAATGGCTGGGGGGAAAGGGGTGGACGGTCAGCGCAGACCGGCCGAGGGTTTCCATCTCGGTGGGCCAAGGAGCACCTTGTTTTCCTTCCAGGATTTGAGTTTCCATGGGATAAAAGCCCTTTAATGTGCTCCACTGGCCTCATGAGGCTCCGTGGGTGGCCTCCCACGCCCGTCCCGTTGCGACCGAGTGGGCTACGAAGTTCGGCCGTGGTGGCAGGATCGGACAGGACAGGCGACGTGCGTCTCTCCAGAAACCTGGAAACGGCCACTTTTGCCCCCCATTTCGTCACTCCACGGGTGGGAAGCGGGCAAGCCACAGGGCACGGCCTGCCGGGCATTTTTCTGTCCCTGGGAGGGGAATGGCCGTGCCCTTGAATCACCCCCTTGAGCTCTGCGGGGGGAGGGAGGGTGTTGGCCAGATGTTCCAGCTGGAAGACTTATCGCGCGGAATTTCCCGCTGGGAAACGTGAATGAAGAGGCCACCACCGGGTGAGCTTTCCAGGCTGAGCCAAAGCACATGAATGGGCCTCGTTGTCTGGGGAGGGGAGGGCAGGAGGGAGGGCAGGCAAGGCCGGCGTGTTCAAGGGAATGCACATCGGGAGCGGGGGAAACAGCTGGCGGTGCCTCCTCCCTCTCTGCCAGAGATCTGTGCCACAGAGGACCTCGCCTGCCATGCCAGCACAGGAGGGGGCTGCTGGTCCCACCCCCAGTCTTCCCCATGAGCCGTCTTGCGCTGAGCGCCGAGCACCCAGGCCTTCCCTCCCAAAGCCTTCAGGCCTTGGCCACGGGGATCCCAGTTGAGGAGGGGGGGGTCCTTCTTTGGTCCATGAGCATCCCGGTGTCCCCCACGTCAGGGGGATCCCAGTGGAGGAGGAGGGGGGGGTCCTTCTTTGGTCCATGGAGCTCCATCCTTTCCTTCACCCTGGCAAGGAAAGGAGGAAATCTGGGCTTTGGTCCTTGATTCTCTGCCCAGCTGCTGCCGGGAAGGACAGACGGAAGGACGGAAGGAAGGCCGAGCCCCCGCGGCTGGTGGCATCAATCCACACCACGGCCCTCGGAGGAGCATGGCGCTTCTGAAGGAGAACACCTTGAGGTGTGGGCGACGGGCAGGCGGGCCGGACGCCTGTGGAAAGCGCCTGGCTGTGGAGAAACAGCCGGGCTTCCTGTCCTGACCGCTAGCCCACCTGGTGGGGCCAACCCCACCACCGCTCTCAAAGAGGAGGAAGAGCACAGCGGCCCCGCACGGAAGGCTGTGGCTCTTTGCCCGGCGGGAGCCCTCCAAGCACTCCGTGCAGCTCTTTGGCCTTTCCCGCCTGGAGGGAATTCCTGCAGAAAGCAAACCGAAGGAAGAGGCCTCCCCTCCTGCCACGGGCCAAGCAAGAGCTTGACCAGAGGCTGGCCTCCAGAAGGAGAGGCATGCGGCTTCCCTGGGCAATTTCTACTCTTTTAAGGTGGACTTAAAAATCCATTTTTCTTTCCCGGGAGCTGAAGGTAAGTCAGCCTGGCTGACCCCGTTTCCCATTGGATCCTAACCCCCACAAACCCGGTACGGCACAGCCAGGGTGAGACAGCCAGGGGTGGAAGGAAGGCCCCCCCAGCAATTTGCACGGGGGAGGGGGAAGACCCGACTCCAGGTGACCCATCGTCCAGCACCGAACCTGCGCCCGGCACGCCCGCTGCGCTTGACGAGCCTGCCTCTCGTTTGTATAAAAAGACGTTTGTTCTTTCCGAAGGCCCATTTATAACTCATCCTCATTTGGATGCGCGGAAGTTTGGTCCAGATGGCGCGCGATGGAAACACATCAACAAACACGCACTTTTAGATGCAATTAGAGGCAAAGAAAACGCCAGCGAGCACCCGGAACACGGCAAGACGGGGAGAAAAGCACAGCTGAGGAGGCAGCCAGACAACCCCAGAAAACAAACACAGGGGATGCCGTGGAGGGGCGGGGGGGGGAAGGCGTGTGGCAGGAAAGCGAGCTCAGAGAAGAGGGGAAGCCCTCCCCAGAGGTCTCCGGCGGCCTCGGATGGGGACTGAGCTGCTCTGACTCTCCCCCCACCTACGCACCCATCCCGGCGCATGGATGGGCTCCGCTGGGATCCGAGAGAGCCCGGCATCGCAGTGCTGGTCCTGTCCCGCCGGAGGGGGAGCAAGTTTTCTGCTGCTCCTGAAGGCACCCAGGAGCGCACAAGGAAGTGGTCTCACACCTCCTCCTCCAACTGAAGGTCCGAGGAAGAGAGCAGTGGCTTCGAAAGCTTGCACATTTCCCGGCA